TAAGCATCTGCCTTAGGCTCAGGTCATGATCCCAGGGTCCTGGGATTGAGTCCCGCAGGCTTCCTGCTCAGCGGGGAGTCTGCTTCTCCCTCTCCCTCTGCCGCTCCCCCTGCTTGTTCTCTCTCTCTCTCTCTCCCTCTCTCTCTCTGTCAAATAAATAAATATAACTCTTTAAAAAAAAAAGGTTGATCAGGCTAAGACTAGGAGAAAATTATTCCAAGCAAAGATGGGAAAGCATATGCAAAAAATAAGTGTGGAGTGTTTAAGAAACAGAAAGAAATCATGTGGGACTTAACAAATCTACAAATTTGCCTGGGTGGCTCAGTCGGTTAAACGTCTGCCTTCAGCTCAGGTCATGTTCTCTCTTGATCTCATGGGATCAAACCCCATGCAGGACTCCCTGCTCGTGCCCGAAGCCTGCTTCTCCCTCTGCCTGCCTCCCTCTCCCTGCCTCCCTCCCCCACCCCCGTCAAATAAATAAATAAAATCTTTAAAAAAAAAAAAAAAAAGGAAGAAGAAAGCTACAGATAATGATACGAAATAGGGTCAGAAAGATTGGCAGGGCCTTGTAGGCTGTGATGGCTACATGGCTGAGAGAATGGTTATGGATGGATGGGAGCCTGGGAGGGATGGGTGGACGGGTGGATAGGTGGATGGATGGAGGGAAATTGTCAAATCCTGGAGGGTTAGAAACCCAAATCCACTTTATACCACTAGATGGAGCCAAACATTGCTATTTGTTACTTAGTTGTTCCGGTCTTTTGCAGAAATTAATATTTCTGTCTAGCATGATATTCCTCCCTGGGAAGCTGACAGGCTTCAAATCTCCTTAGAGCACAGGAGAGCTTCTCGACTAGTGAGGCTACTGGGCTGTTAGCTGTGCAGAGATACGGATGCCCTTGGCCCTGGAGTGACCTAGTAAAGTCTGAGGAAGCCAGATTCCCCAAGTATTACCTCTGTCCATTCACAATGCTGTGTTATACAGCAAACATTATCATGTTCTAGGCGGGTCATGATGTAAAAAAAAAAAAAATTAGGAGGTGCAGCCTTAGAGAATGTTGTGTGCTTCACATTGCATCATTCAAGAGAGTGATCTGGCTTTTTTTTTTTTTTTTAAGATTTTATTTATTTGTTAGAGAAAGAGAGAGAGAGAGAGCACCAGCAGGGGGAGCGGCAAGCAGAGGCAGAAGCAGGATCCCCGCTGAGCAAGGAGCCCGATGTAGGACTCGATCCCAGGACTCGGGGATCATGACCTGAGCCCAAGGCAGATGCTTAACCAACTGAGCCACCCAGGCATCTCGAGTAATTTGGCTTTAACTGGCCATTCCTGGCAGCAGAGTACCAACTATGTCCAGATACTAAAGATTATAAAATGCTAACAAAAGTGGGAAATGTGTACTTGTGATGGGAAATGTGTCGGCTGATGGGCCAACACACAAAACCCATGAAACCTTGAGGTTCCACCTCTTTGGATACCACTTTGGGATCAGGCAGGTCACCGAACCCACCCCGGGATGCTGCTTAACTCAATTTAAAATGCACATCAAGGAGAAAATGATCCATCTGCAACCATGGCACGCAGACAAGACAAAGTGTCCTGCAGTGGGAAGCAAGGAGAGATCTGCAAGCAGGAAGATGAAAGGATCAGCGCTGGGCCTTGGGAAGTCCTCCCTTCTAGAACAGAAGGGAGGAAGGAACGTCCCAAGACACAAGCTGTCCTGGAGAGTGTCTGCAAAACAAGGTGAGGGGCCATCCAGGCAGGGGCACCAAGCGGGCAAAGAAGGGCAAGGCCAGATGTCAGACACAGAGTCTGAGAAATGTAGGGAGAAGCCTTCAGACGATTAGAAAGGAAAATGAGGCAGGCAATGGGCAGAGGGTAGAATCATGCTCAGGAGGAGGGAGCAGGCAGCTGAAACTCAAGGCATAGAAACAACAGGTCGGGAGAAGATTGAAGAAAAAGACAGGCAGGATGTGGGGGAGTAGGGGAGAACACGGGGAGGGCGGACTGGGCTACATGTTTGGGAGTGGGACTTTCTAATTATTATAGAACATTTCAAGCATATGAAAAACTACAGAAAATAACAAACATGTTAAGATGTCTTTTAAATTTTACTATTTGTACAGAAGCTAATCATACACATTCTCTTCACCAAGTGTGCTCCAAATCACAGATAACTCTTACCAAGTTTTCTCCAAAGTTGGCCTCATATACAGTAAAATTGGAAAGAATTCACAACTATCATGTCTGTAGCTAGACTTGAGTTACATGCAAACTCAGTTGCCTACCCTATTGGGCCCATCACACCCTTTAGATAATACCTATTTTACAATGCCTCACTGTCTATTATGAAATGCAATTCATAGATAATAAACCTACCAACACTCAAAATTTCAAAAAAAATTAATATAAAGTCCTATCATATAAAAGAGAAATAAATCTATAAAATGTATTTCAATATGTAAATAAGTCATCACTAAAATAAGGTAGCCAGACACTTGTACCTAAAATCCCCATGATTGTGACAAACAGCACAGGTTTCGTCTTAATACCAAAAGCAACATTGTGGTAGGTGACGTGATCTTCTGAAATGGTTAATAGCTCTTCGGTTCTGAACAAATCAATTTAGCTGCATTCTGGGAAGGTTCAGAGTACATTTATGGTAGTCATATTTCTCACCAGTATTCCCTGCTCCCCTTTCCCCGGACACTGGTAGGATTGAACTTTTGAACTCCCTTGAAGTTAGAGGTGGCATATACTTGCTTTGGTCAATGAAATGTATATAAGTGGGGACTCCTGATTGGCTCAGTTGGTTAAACATCTGCCTTCGGCTCAGGTCACAATCTTAGGGTCCTGGAATCAAGTCCCGCATTGGGCTCCCTGCTCAGCGGTGAGCCTGCTTTTCCCTCTCCCTCTGCCGCTCCCCCTGCTTGTGTTCTCTCTCTCTCAAATAAATTAATAAAATCTTAAAAAAAAAAAAACAAATTTTGGGGCGCCTGGGTGGCTCAGTCTGTTAAGCGTCTGCCTTCAGCTCAGGTCATGATCCCAGGGTCCTAGGATCAAGTCCCGCATCAGGCTCCCTGCTCAGCGGGGAGTCTGCTTCTCCCTCTCCCTCTGCTGTTCCCCCTGCTCATGCTCACTCTCTCCTGCTCTCTCACTCTCTGTCAAATAAATAAAATCTTTTAAAAATAAATAAATAAATAACTATTTTTCTAAAAGGAATTTAGGTTTCTTTGCAAAGTGGAATTTGGTCCAGGCTCTGGGCATTATAAACAAGCTCTTCACCTACATGAATGTCCACTGGTATTGAAAAGTCATGAAGGATCTGGGTCTACTGCTTGGTAATTGCAGAGCATCTAACTCCCCTGTTCACCGCACTCCAGCAAAGACTAGCAGCAAACCCCTCCATCACTGTGACAGCTCAAACACCATCCCCACAGCTTCCCCACTATCTCCACACCCCACTCTCCCCATAGAAAAGAGCTGGCCTTCAGCGCCCGGACATATCATAAACACCCAATGGAGATAGCTGGACCAAAATGCCAGGAGAACCACGGGGCTTCTAAAGGGACAGCCATCGCCTGCTTTACCAATTTGTTGACACCATGGAATAGACTCTGAGCTGCCAAAGCTTCTGATCTTTCGAGAGGGCCAAAATCCAGATTTCTTTTTTTAAGATTTTATGTATTTATTTGACAGAGACACAGTGAGAGAAGGAACACAGCAGGGGGAGTGGGAGAGGGAGAAGCAGGCTTCCCGCTGAGCAGGGAGCTGGATGCGGGGGTTTGATCCCAGGACCCTGGATTCATGACCTGAGCCGAAGACAGACACCCAACGACTGAGCCACCCAGGCGCCCCAAGATTATATTTATTTATTTGAGAGAGTGAGAGAGAGAAAAAGAGAGAGAGCACAAGCAGGGGGAGTGAGAGAGGGAGAAGCAGGCTTCCCGCTGAGCAGGGAGCCGGATGCGGGGCTTGATCCCAGGACGCTGGGATCATGACCTGAGCCGAAGGCAGACGCTTAACGACTGAGTCACCCAGGCGCCCCCAAAATCCAGATTTTAATGCCAAATCTTTTGATTTCTAAATATCTGCAACAACCTTTTTTTTTTTTAATTTAAGATTGAAACGCTCTGGGAGCCAAATACAAACGTTCTCCGAGTTTGATGAGGCCCCTGTGTGTCACTTTGCAAACAAAGTATCCAATGCTAATGCAATGTGAGTTTCCATTTAGTCAAATTCCCCTCTCTTCCAAGTGAGGAAACAGACAGGGAGTGATTCAGTGCAAGTGGATCATGCCTTGTGGAAGCCACACAGTGGGGCTAACAGTCCTCACATTGCCAACGTCTGCCATGCGTTCCTTACTGCAAAATCTTCTTTCTTGATGAGGCAGGTTCTCTTATTATCCCCATTTAACTAATTAATAGAATCCGGACCTTCTGATTCCCAGTCCTGCCAATCTGTCGTATGTAGGGTTTTCTTTTTAATAAAAAAAATCCTGATTTCCTGCCTCACCTGTCCCAGTTTCCTTACCCGCCCTTCTGGGGCTTGTTCTGAAGAGCGCTGCAGAAAAGTGGCGAAGTAGAAAAAGGAAATCATGAAATGAAAATCAGAAAGAGGAAATAGAGTCACGACGAAACTAAAGCCCTGGGGGCTGTGTTCTAAATCAAGCTGGGGGCACCTCCGGTAGGGGGGGCAAGCCCAAGAGTAATTTTCTGGACGAGTCCTCCCGACTGGTGGGAATATGGGCGCTTATGTTATGAATGGTACTTTGCTGAACCTTTCTGAGGTTAAAGAAAGGAGAGGGAAGGCGGGTGAAGAGGAAGGAGAATTTAGCGAACGGGAAAAAAAAAAAAAATCTCTGCCCGCCCTCGCCTAGCCCGCCGCCCACCCGCGCGCCCGCCCGCGCCGCGTCCTCCGCCCGTCGCGGCCACGTGACACGGCCAAGATGGCCGACGGGGAAGACGGTTCCCTGGCGGGGCAGGACCCGGGACCGGAGTCGGGAGAAGAGTTCGAGATCGTGGACCGGAGCCAGCTGCCTAGCCCTGGCGAACTGCGGAGCGCGGCCAAGTCGCGGACCGGGCCGGAGGGCTGGTCGGCGCCCATCCTGACCCTGGCGCGAAAGGCCACGGGCAACCTGTCGGCGAGCTGCGGGAGCGCGCTGCGCGCGGCCGCGGGACTGGGCGGCGCGGACGGCGGCGCGGACGGCGCGGCGCGCACAGGTAGGCTGCGGCCGGGCACGCCCCGCGCGCGGCCGCGGGGCTGGGGGCCGTTTGGCGGTGGGAACCGAGCTGGCGAGGGTGTCGAACTTCCGCAGCCTGTCAGACGAGTTGTTCGGAACCAACCTGTTAACACGCGTAACTCCTCGTCTGTTTTTCTTGATGCCGTGCAAGCCAAGATAAATGCGCGGGTTTGGACGGCCTGAGATTGGGCGACTCCCCTAGCAGACCCTTCTAATTGTGTGCCCCAGACAACATTCTGACCCCCGGTGGCGGACTTGAAGATGTACGAGTTTAAGCTTAGGTAGTCGGTATTAAGCTTAAAAGTACTCAAGAACTGAATCCGGTTCCGCTCTGTGCCGCGAATCTCCCAAATGCCAACCCGGCTCACGCCTCGGCTGTACCCACGCACCTAGGAGTGCGAGCTGCGAGGTGGAAGTCAGGAGGCGGTGGTTCCAGGTGCGCCGAGGCCAACTCCGTTGTGTGACACGCGCAAGTCACCGCGTTTCCCAGACTGTGCAGTAGGGGTTTTTTAATTCACACAGTGAGCTTTTCTAGTCCTCTTCAGCCCTTCTTACCTGGAATAGAGTTTGAGCATGTTAGAAGAATGGAAATAATGGGAATACCAAATGGTGATGATAAAAAGGGTGTGACTTGGAAAGCCCTATAAAGCCAGATATTGAGAGCTGTGTTCACCAATAGAGTAGCCACGACACACGTGTGATGTTTAAATGTTAAAATTAAAAATTCAGTTCTGTCTTCATAGAAAGTGTTGTGGGGCAGAGTTGATGGAGGACCGTAGTGCTAAGAATCATAATACGCCTTTGAGGTTTCTTGATTCCCTTCTACCCAGCGGTAAAGTTGCTGCTTAGAAGTCATCGCTGACCCAGCAGAGTGAATTGTGAGAATTTCGGTGGTTAAGAAAGAGTAACGAGGGGCGCCTGGGTGGCTCAGTTGGTTAAACCGCTGCCTTCAGCTCAGGTCGTGATCCCAGGGTCCTGGGATCGAGCCCCACATCGGGCTCCCTGCTCATGAGGGAAGCCTGCTTCTCCCTCTGCCTGCCACTCCCCCTGCTTGTGCTCTCTCCCTCTCTCTCTCTCTCTCTCTCTCTCTCTCTCTCTCTCGCTATCGCTCTCTGTGTGTCAAATAAATAAATAAAATCTTAAAAAAAAAAAAGAGTAACGAGTAGAGAAGAGTTTACCAACGGACTTGTTTTGAGATTCTGGCAGTGGCAAGTAGGACTAGAAGGTAATGAGGAAGCCTGTGCACAGCCTTTGCACACACCTCTGGGTGTTTGATTGTGAGCCAGCCGTTGGCGGTGAGTCCCAAAAGTCAAGGCATATGAGGCGTTCTGGAGGCCTCTGAGATCATGTAGCAAGCAAATAATAACTGTTAGCTGTTCGCTGATAAATCCCATGTGCCAGTGCCTAAAATAGCACCTAGCACAGAATACTTAATAATAAATATTTGCTGGGGCGCCTGGGTGGCTCAATCGTTAAGTGTCTGCCTTCAGCTCAGGTCATGATCCCAGGGTCCTGGGATCGAGCCCCGCATCGGGCTCCCTGCTCGGCGGGAAGCCTGCTTCTCCCTCTCCCACTCCCCCTGCTTGTGTTCCCTCTCGCTGTGTCTCTGTCAAATAAATGAAATCTTTAAAATAATAATAAATATTTGCTTACTTACTAGGTGCCAGGTATTAGTCTTAGATTTGTACCTACGTTAATTCATTTAACCCTCAAAATAACCCCAGGTGATAGCAGGCTTCCTGGTGTGCATCAGTGCAGGCTTTGATCCCTGTGGTCACCCGAGTACTCAGAGGTGCCCACACTTTAAATCCTTATTATCTTTGTTATTTTTTTGTTTTTTAAGATTTTATTTATTCATTTGACAGAGAGAGAACACAAGCAGGGGGAGCGGCAGGCAGAGGGAGAAGCAGGCTCCCTGCTGAGCAGAGAGCCAGACTCGGGGCGAGTCAGGACCCTGGGATCATAACCTGAGCCGAAGGCAGATGCTTAACCAACTGAGCCACCCAGGCGCCCCTGAATACTTGTTTTAAAATGCTATCTCACGTGGGCCCTGTTAGCACAGTGTGCCACAGTAACCCTGTACTCTGTAGTTAACTGTCTTGTTTTTTTCTTGTTGTTTTAAGTAATAAAGGCAGGTGGTAAAAAAGAGAAGAAACCAAACTGTACAAAAGATCATTCAGTGTAGAGTATGTCCTCCTGTGCAGAAACCCCCAATCCAATCATATCTTTCAGAGAGCCATCATCTCCCCCATGCAGTTTTCACACAAACCACAGCACACACAGCAGACTGTACATCTTGCTTGTTCATGTGTCTTCTCCTAAAGGATGGGTGACCAAGCGTGTGTTCCTAAGCGTTAACGTGCTCAGCACAATGGCTTGCACACGGGTGCTCACTAAAGAGGGCTTGCTTGCTTGCTTGCTTTAAGATTTTATTTATTTGGGACACCTGGGTGGCTCAGTAGTTAAGCATCTGCCTTCCGCTCAGATCATGATCCCAGGGTCCTAGGATCGAGCCCCATGTCAGGCTCGCTTGCTTCTCCCTCTTCCACTCCCCCTGCTTGTGTTCCCTCTGTCGCTGTCTCTCTCTGCTAGAGAGAGGGAGAGAGAGAGCACAAGCAGGGGGGGCGGCAGGCAGAGGGAGAAGCAGAATCCCCCCTGAGCAGGGAGCCCCATGTGGGACTCCGTCCGAGGACTCTGGGATCATGACCTGAGCCGAAGGCAGAGACTTTAACTGACTGAGCCACCCAGGTGTCCCAAGGGCATTCTTACATTTTAGAATTATTTAGGTACATATTTGCCATCATGTGGTATGTATTATGCGTTTCTCTATGCTTCTTCCATGGGAAATGTCCAAGTGGCCCTCCACAGCTGGTGCAGCTCCTTTCACAATGAATCACAGTAACGTTTTCCTAGTTACGTTGCTGAACACGAGTTAGCCCCAAGATGCTAAGTGAAAATTCTTGACAGTTGGGAAAGTGTTAAAGTTTTCCTCCTTGTCAATAGAGGGCAACACTGTACTGTGTTATAAGATCCTTCAAGACACCAAAGGGCTACTCAAAACTAAAACTCAAATTTGTCAAGAATCTACTTACTCCTCTATAATTGAGAACCCAACAACAACAACAAAAAAAAAACCCCTAGGGCCCACTCCCCATCCTGCGTACTCACTCTCTATACCAAAGGTGACAACCAGCTGTGAGCTGTTTGTGTCTGGTAGTTGCATTTTATATGCTGCATAGTATAAAAGCATTAAAACAAAAAAAGTTCTGGGACACCTGGGTGGCTCAGTCAGTGAAGCGTCTGCTTTTGGCTCAGGTCATGATCCCAGAGTCCTGGGATCAAGTCCCACCTGGAGCCTACTTCTCCCTCTGCCTACCGCTCCCCCTGCTTGTGCTCTCTCTCTGACAAATAAATAAATGATATATTTTGGGGCGCCTGGGTGGCTCAGTTGGTTAAGCAACTACCTTCGGCTCAGGTCATGATCCTGGAGTCCCGGGATCGAGTCCCGCATCCGGCTCCCTGCTCAGCAGTGAGTCTGCTTCTCCCTCGGACCCTCCCCCCCTCATGCTCTCTCTCTCTATTTCATTCTCTCTCTCAAATAAATAAATAAAATCTTTAAAAAAAAATAAATGATATATTTTTAAAAATAAAATAAAAAATAAAGCAAAATTTTTTTTTTTTTAGCCAGTGAGCAGGCTTTACATAAAAATCCAGATGTCCAGCTTCTGAAAACTGCGTCTGACCCTGTTGACCAGCATTCTTCCCACCAGAGGGTGGTGCTCAGCGGGGTTGCTCCCTGGATATCCATGGGGCCCCAGGTCCCCTCCAGCTCATCCTCGCATAGCAGCACTCATTTCTGTCCCAGCCTGGCCCCTGCGCAACAGTCAAGATGGAGATCCCTGAACAGACCATTTATTTGGCAATTCAGGAAGTATAGAACTTGGTGACATCCTCTGTGTTTTGCTGATGTGCTGAACTTTTTTTTTTTTAAGATTTTATTTATTTGAGATGAGAGAGAGCACAAGTGGGTAGGAGAGGGAGAAGCAGACTCTCTGCTGAGCAAGGAGCCCGATGTGGGAATCGATCCCAGGAACTTGGGATCATGACCTAAGCCAAAGGCAGATGCTTAACGAGCCACCCAGGCGCCCTGTGCTGAACTCTTATTAATGAAGCTTAGAGATGCGAATAGCTTGGCCAAAGTCACAAAGCCAGTAAACTTGAGAGATGGAATGGCTTAAAAATCCACTTCACATTTTCCGAAGCTGTAAATTGAGCATGAATGGGAACAGGTGAGTCATGGAGCAGACGGTTGGATGGGATGGCTGCAGAACACAGCCATGTACCCAGGAACGGTGATGGTGATGTGGGAAACAAAGGCCAAAGAAAAATTAAACATCCATACTACGTGCAGCCCATTGGCAAGTCCTTGAAACAGGCCGAGTGACATTCTTCTAGGAACTCTGCTGTCTCCATATTGATACTTTGCTAAGGGCAAAAGGCAATCTTACCCCAACCCCCCAGGTCCTGTAAATCTACTTTAACATACAAAACTTCATTTGGAAACTTCCTTTATCTCTAAACCTCCCCCCCCAAGATACATGTTGGCAATCATCCCTACTGATATACATCTGAAGGGTCTCATTACTAAGGTTTTATTAGGTGGTAAAAATGGCCTTTTCCCAACAATAGGAGCCCCTTCAAGGTCCTGGAAACTTTGTTTCCAAATTCCTTAGAGACTTACACTATCCCTGACCCCCTCCCAACTTGAAAGTACATAATGGGCCACTCCTCACGACACCAGTGCCCACAGGTCCTGTCCCGTGCTTTAATAAAACCACCTTTTTGCACCAAAAACGGATCAGGAATTCTTTCTTGGCTGTCGGCTCTGAACCCCAACATCTTTCCTACATCAATAGAAGCCACTGCCACCCATGGCTGATCACCTAAAACACTAGTCTTCGTGTTCATTTGCTCACATGACCCCCTAAAAAAAATCTTCAGCTTTTAAGGTTGACATGTTTTCTGGCGTATTGTAAATATTAGCTTTTTTTTTTTAAAGATTTTATTTATTTATGTGACAGAGAGAGACAGCAAGAGAGGGAACACAAGCAGGGGGAGTGGGAGAGGGAGAAGCAGGCTTCCCGCTGAGCAGGGAGCCCGACTCGGGGCTCAATCCCAGGACTTTGGGACCATAGACCTGAGCCAAAGGCAGACGCTCAACAGACTGAGCCACCCAGGTGCCCCAAATATTAACTTTTTAAAATAAAAGTGTTACATTATTCTTTAAGTGGTATGTAAATACCTAAATGATTTGATAAGCACTACCGTCCATCTTTTAAGTTATTTGAAAACTTTACCATTTTTTTAAAGATATTTCTTTTTGAGTAATCTCTACACCCAGCGTGCGGCTCAAACCAACCGCAAGATCGAGTCGCATGCTCTACCAACTGAGCCAACCAGGCGCCCCTGAAAACTGTATATTTTACCTTTTATTCCTTGAACTTGAATTTCTATTCCATTTCCATATGTTTTAAATTTTTTTATTATTTTTAAAAAATTATTTTTTTTAAAGATTTTTTTTATTTTTTATTAGAGTGCAAGCAGGGGGAGTGGCAGGCAGAGGGAGAGGGAGAAGTAGGCTCCCTGCTCAGCAGGGAGCCTGACGTTGGGCTCTATCCCAGGACCCCAGGATCACGACCCGAGCCGAAGGCAGGCACTTAACCGTCTGAGCCCCCAGGCGCCCCAAAAATTATTTATTATTTTAAAAAATTTTATTTATCATCCTATCATACATCTCAGGGAAAAAAAGTAAATTAAAATTCAATAAACTTTTTTGGTGACTAAAGCTCTAAGTGTATAAAATATTTTTCTTGTGGAATGAATTACCATTAAAATAATAAGAAATGCTAAGTTGACAAAAGGGTTTATTTTTATACATAATTACTATAAACTTTTCTTGTTATTGTTTCTCTTAATGGGCTAGTTTGTTTTTTTTATTAGCATGTATCCACAAATAAAAATATATGGTTTACTCATAAAATATGATGGAACTCAGCATCAATTTTATTCCCATTTTTTGGTTTTTTAATAGATGCGAGCCCTGACAAACCTGGTTCATATAAACAGGAAATAGAAATGGACAGTTTTGTTATAGTAATGTCATACTTTTGAATTCCTTCCAATTATATGCCCCAAGTCACATTGATCTTTTGTCAAAATTTATTTTTTGTTTCTTTATTTTTGTTTAATAAAAATGAAAATCACCTGACTTGCAAAAGGATGCAACCCAATCATATTAAATTTCTCAGCCTCAGAAGGTTCCCCCAAAAAAGCCTTTACCCAGACTTATTAAATGAAAATTATACCTGTAATTCTTTCAATAGTTACTTAACCCAGAACACTCAGAATAGTTGGGGACACCTGAATGTTGCTTATTTCATTATACCTTTGTCAACACAGTATTATTTGCCAACACAAAAAGACTTAGTTTATGTGTACTTCAAATCCATTTTCTTCAAAAACATGGAGCTATAGTATTGGCCCATCTAATGTATGGAACATGTTCCTCAAATTAATGGTACATCCTAGGAAGGAGTATTGAGACAGGCTGAGAATAATTACATATATCTGTGGGAGAAAAAAAATGTTTAATTTTCTGAATTCAGGCTAGCCGGCAGAGAACTAGAGACCATCCCCCTCCCCCAAGACCAGTTTCCTTAACTAAGTACAATAAAGCAATGAGAGGTTGGAAGCCCTTCATGATTTGGGTAACTTGAATCATCAAAGGAGGCTTCACCTCCACTTGGTGTGTGGGACTCTCTGGACCCCAGGTCGGTGTAATGTAGTTTTGAGTAGCATTGTTGGTGAGGTCTGGAGTCAACAGCCAGGAAAGAATTCTTGAGACGTCTGTGGTGCAAAAAGGTGATTTTTAATGGGATAGGACCAGTGGGCAGAAAGAGCTGCTGCACTGGGGCTGTGAGGAATGGCTGATTATATACGTGGGAGTTGGGGGAGGTAAGGACAAAGGGAGGTGTCCAAAAGGACTTCCATACGCTAAAGAAGTCTCTGGATACTGCAGGCCTTGCTATTGTCAAACTAAGGTTGCTTTTCCCTCTGGGAAAGCATTAGCGTTAAGACAGTTGGGAGTTTCCCGGAGGAGTGTTATACTCTGCCTGCCTCAAGTATTTGTCAGTGGGGCCACAGGATAGAAGGAAATTTAATTTTATTTACATTCCTTTTTTGCCTTTGTTTCCCATATCACTGTGGAGGGGCGGGTGATGTTAGGGCTCCAGGAAATTGAGTCTGTGGGTCTCTAGAAGTCAGGCTGTTGGTAACAGGATGCTTTTGCCTTGTAAATCTCTAGGACATTGGTAAACTGACGGAGACCCCTGTCCTATGGGACTGTGATTTTGTCAGTTAGCCATTTGTTTTTCCCTTTCTTTAGTTTTAGAGCAGCCAGGAGTGCCTGAGGAATGTCACACATAGCCCACCTGTTGGGGGGGGGGTGCAGGTGTCAGTTTGTGCTTTGTCCTCAGCTTGCTTTCTGCTCCCTCATCAGGTGCATCCAGAGGAACATGTGGGATAGGGAGTAAATCTATAACCAGGCAGCAGGAGTGCAAGAGCGCCTGGCTCCCAGGCTCCCAAATAGACCAGGTTCAGCCACTGGCCGCTGATAGGATCCAATGGCAGAGAGATGAGTGGTGGTGAACCAAGAAGGGAATTTATTGCAGTGAGGCCAGTACTGGGAAGACGGGAGTAGCATCTCAAAGGCAGTCTACAAGTGTTGAAAATACCCTAGATTTGTATAAGGAAAACGTGGGACAGTTGGTGGGTACAGGCAGGTGGGCAGTAAAGGCCGCCTCCCTCCTTGTCTTGCAGTTGGTCACACGGAGTCTTGCTGATTCAGGGCAGTCCTTATTGTAAGTTTGGGTTCCCATCGGGATGCCTCGCCCGCATAAGCTGGAAAGAACTTAATCAATTAGAAAAGTACAGACTGGGGTGAAAATGGAGGTGGTTCAAGCCCTCCCCTTCACATGGGGCTGTCCTGTAGAGCTGTGAAACTCCAGGGGCTGGAAACGGATCTGCAAACATCTGGGCTTGCCTGGCGCTGCGCCAGAATCCTGGCTCTGCGTTCTCAGGAGAAGAGCGGTGGTTTACAGACCTGGGCGTGGTGTCTTTTTCAGCAGTAAATCTTTGCAAATTGCTTCTGTGTTTATTGGTCCATTCAGGGTTTCTCCCTCTCTTGATGAGGCTTTACAATTTTATTTTCTTTGCCAATCATCCAGCTCATTAACACTTTCAAATTATAAATATAATATAGAGGATTCTCTCGAAATTTAAAAATAATTATACCACCCCCACCCATTTAATCAACCCATTTTTCTCTGGTCAAATGTTTAGACCGATTTTTCTTTGCCAGCAGCTGTCTTCGTGGGTGTCTGAGACTTTAGAATTTTTAGTCCCAGGGTGTCTTAAGTCTCAATAATATTTACTTAATACCTTTATTATAAATTCAGTCATAATTCATTTCTTTTCCATTTAGCCATCCATGTGTGCGCTCTTTTAACTATATGTTCATATTAATGACCATGAAATCAAACATCCATAAAGGATTGATATCAATATTAATTTATACAGAATATACAGATCAATAGACAATTCAGCAAGGAAGTTGATTTAACATGCTATTTACAGAATCCTAGGAGATGATAAACGTGAAAAGCTACTTAACCTCAGTAGTGATCAGACAGCTGCCAACTGAAACAATACGAGCCCCCCACCACCACCACCACCACGGTCCGGTCGGCAAATGTTTCGGACTAAACGATGGCGGGAGTTAAGAGGGGCGCACGCGGGCTTATTTTTTCCCGCCAGGACTCAGTTAATCGCGTGGAGTCTGCATTTTTAATTTCTAGTCTGCCTGCTTCCTGGGTATGAGGGGGACACTTGGTAAACATTTGTCATGGGTATCTGATACTGACGGCCCACAAACTTTTTTTACTCTTAAAGCGAAAGCATTAATGGGAGTTGGAAATGGAGCTGAGTTTTTCTGATTCTAGCGGTTTTCCATACAAAAGTGTAAGACTCGTACTGCCCACTAACTGTGGACTGAAGATGGGCAACGAGAATTTGAGTCAGGAACTCAGGAGCAGAGACTCTTCTAAAGGCACTTGGGTTGACACCGTCGGACAAAAGAACAGGCTCAGAGAGTCATCTGGGGAGGCCGAGGACAGGGCCACCCGCGCGGAGAATACAAAATGGCGCCCTTAAGCTTCGTGGGCGTGGCCTCCGGCTGGGCCCGTCCAATCGGAATGTCCAAGGGCGGAACACTTTGCCCAGTTCGCCTTCCAGCTTAGGGCGGGGTTTCCTGGAGTTTGTCCCCTTCCATTGGTCGAAAATGGAATTACTGGCTGTGGGAAAGGCCAATCGCGGCGAGTCTTAGTAGAGCCGTCGCCTTAGCAACGCGCGGAGCCGCCTGGGAGAGGTCTCTCGAGACTGACTCGCGCGGCTCAGGCTGCCCAGGTGCAGCCGTGACCTCCAGGGATCAGAGGCCGGTTGACTACCAAGCCCAGTTATCCGTCCAGCCGCACGTCCGCGCTCGGAACTGATCGCCTGTCCCCCCGCCAGGCCGATCTTCCATCCTCCTCACCCCGGACCACCCTCAGTCCACTAACGAGGCTGTCCCTGTTTCCGCCCCAACAGCTTCCAGGTGCCAGATGATGGAGGAGCGTGCCAACTTGATGCACATGATGAAACTCAGCGTCAAAGTCTTGCTCCAGTCTGCCCTGAGCCTGGGCCGCAGCCTGGATGCGGACCATGCCCCCTTGCAGCAGTTCTTTGTAGTGATGGAGCACTGCCTCAAACACGGGCTTAAAGGTGAGCTGGAGGGGGCGTTCGGGGGCGGGAATTCGGGCCAGCTGTTTGCTCAGCATGTATTCATCAGTGCTGAGCATTGTTCTGGGTGCTGGGATAACAGCAGGGTACAAAACAGACGCGGTCCCTGCACGCCAGACCCCACATCGAGAGCAGCACTGTCAGGGGAAATGCCAGGCAAGCTACTTGTGCAATTTTTAGTGTTTTGGTAGCCACGTTAAAAAAAAAAGGTAAAAAGAAACAGGTGAAATTAATTTTAAGAACACATTGACCCCAGTATATCCTAAATATTACGATTTTGACACATAATCAGTATTTAAAAGCCTTATTGTTGAGGTATTTTACATTCTTCTTCATTCTACTAAGGCTTAAAAACCCACTGTGTGTTTTATACCACATTTCAATTGCACCAGCTACATTTCACGTGCTTGGAACACAGTTCTAGGGACCAGACAATAAATGCAGAAACAGACTTAATTACAAAATGCTACAAATTCAAGGAAGCAGCAAGGGTTTCAGCTAGATGAGACGGGAGGTCTTGCTGGGGAGGTGAACTGTGAGCTGAGACCTAAAGGAGAAAAAGTTAGCTGTGCCAAGATTTGGGACAAGAGCATTCCTTAGTGGGGGAAGAAACAGGTGGGCAGAAGTCCTGGGTGAGACCAGGCTTGGTTTGAGGAAGATGCCAGTGGGCTCAGAGGGAGAGTGGGAGGAGATGAAGTCAGGGAAATGGATTGGGGGGCGGGGGAAGGCTGGATCATGTAGGCCTTTACAGGTCATGTGAAGAGTTGGATTGTATTGTAGGTGTATCTGGAGGATTTTAAGCAAAGGGGAAAACATGACCTGACTTAACGTTTTTAAAAAACTTCCGTGTGTGTGAAGAGATTGTAAGGGCGGGGGGGTGAGGAGGTGGCCATATTAGGAGCAAGGAGACCCATGAGAATGTTACTGGCAGCAATTTAGATGAGGGATGGTGGTGACGATTTGAAATCTGGCGTTGATGTTGGCATCAGGTAGGAGGGAGAAAGGGGAAGGATTTCTACAAGCCATATATACGTATATATGTACGTATGTACACGCACACACTTGTTTTATTTCACGGGCAGTAAGTACTTGGAGTAAGAGCATAGTCGGGTGTCACAGAAGCCCTGTCACCAGAGGAAGGGAGAGCTCGTTTGTTACCTGACGTCTCCGAGTCCCCAAGACTAAATCAGGATTAAGCAGTGGAGCTGTGCATTGTCCATTTGGCTTTTGGGAGAGAGACTGTGGGCGCCTGAGGACATTTTGCAACCTGTTCTTATGAATAACACTTTTGTTTTCCCTTTTAGTTAAGAAGAGTTTTATTGGCCAAAATAAATCTTTCTTTGGTCCTTTGGAGCTGGTGGAGAAACTTTGTCCAGAAGCATCAGATATAGCCACTAGTGTCAGAAATCTGCCAGAATTAAAGTGAGTGAGAAGTAGCTAACACTGATTTAATGTTTGAAAAAAAACTCCCTCGTATTTACCCATTTCTCAATTCCTTGCTGATAAACTTTTTCTAATTTAGAACAAATTGTAACATGAGCCACACTCCACTTAAACTTTAGTCTCAGCTCTGCTGCTCATTATCCTCAAAATCTTGAGCAAGATTTGCCCCTCCCTGAGCCTCAGCTTCCTTATCTTTAAGATGGGGACAGCGATTCCTATAGGTCACACGAGGTCATGTAGTTTGTAAAGGTGTTGTGGGGACCTGGCTGGCTCAGTCGGTAGGGCACTTGACTCTTGATCTCAGGTCGTGAGTTCCGGCCCCATGTTGGGCATAGAGATTTTAAAAAGAGACAGAGAGAGAGAGAAAAAAGATGTTGTTACCTGAGGAGCAGTTACAAGAGTAAAGGGGGTCATTGTTATACTCCTGGAATCCATGCTTTGGATGCATCTGGGCAGTTTTCAGAATAATATAGTTCAGGCCAGATTTTAGATTGTAGGACATGGGACATTTGTGAAAAGGTGAGACATATCATTTACCATGTCTGGGTTGGCACCTTGGGATATCTATGCATTGGCTCAAAATAAAAAAAACTGGACAGAATACAAACAAGGCATCAAAAACTAATGATGTAATGTATGGGGATTAACCTTACAATAAAAAAATTTAAAAAATAATACAAACAAGGCGTCATCATGAAATCTGCATTTAGAAGGGGACGACCTAGAGAGCCTTGGGCCCATGCAAAAAAGCACCCTGCCTCTCCCACAGGGAACACCACTGTCCAGCCTCACACACTTCTCCTGGGGAACCAGCCTGTTCCATTTTCAGATAATAATCGCCAGCATTTACCAAGGGCCTGCCGTGTGCCAGGCATTGTGCTAAGGACATTTCAGGATCTCATTTAATTCCCCACAACAAAGCCTCCAGGAAAGCTGTTGGGATCCACGCATGATTAAGTACAGAAACCGAGACAGAGCAGCTAAGTAACCTGCCCGAGGGCCCCTAGCAAGTGAGTGTTGCAGCCAGGAAGGGAACACAGGTCTAAGGGATTCTAGAACCCTCTGAGTCCCACTACGTCCCTTGCTGTGGAGCCCTGTGCGGTCTTCTCAAGATGAAACTGAAGCCTCGGTCCCTGTCGCTAGTTCAGCCCTTGGGCCTGTCCCACAGAAGGCGAAAGCCCTTTGCACTGTGACAACTTTCAAATACGTATTTGGTGAGCTCTCAGGAGCTTCCCATGTCTGCTTTGTTTCTGCAGTTCCTCTTGTGGTCCTGCTGCCCATCCCTCCGACCAGCTCACTCCCTCATGAGGGAAGACGCGAGACGGAGGCCTGGTGCGTTCAGATCGGAGCAGACCGGGGCTGTCCCTCCTCCAACACTCAGACCTCTGTTTCCAGTTATGCACGGGAGGCAGTTTTGAAGTCTTGTGCTAACAAAGAGCTCACTGTCCGCTAAACCCACCACCTCCTTCCCTTCTTACTCTGCGGCTGTGAACAAGTGACGGGCTTGGCCTGTGGAAATCCTCCCCTGTCTCCTGAAAAGGAAAGACAATAGTTCCCTTCTCTTGATGGCTCCAGAGGAGTAGCCTCACTGGGGGCCGTGTGGGAGAGGACATTTTTTTTTTTTTTTTACTATTTCATTAAATTGTTATAAAAGTTCTAAAATTTTGACATTTTGGAAGTTTATGACTACTGTTTTGGGGGGTGGAAGGGTAGTTTGAAACTTTTGCAGGATGCATTTTGTATCCTGAGGAGTCTTGAGTTTAGTTCCCCTATCTAATTGAAATGAAAATACCTTTTCCAGTATGACCCTGTCACCCAAAATTTTTCATTGTTCTCAGGTCACTGGTGGGTTTTTTTGTTCGCTTGTTTGTTGTTTTAAGATTTTTATTTATTTATTTGAGAGAGCACCAGTTGCGGGGTTTGGGGGGAAGGCAGAGGGAGAGGAAGAAGCAGACTCCCGGCTGAGCAGGGAGCCTGATGCAGACTCGAATCCAGGATCCTGAGATCATGACCTGAGCTGAAGGCAAACACTTAACTGACTGAGCCACCCAAGCTTCCCCAGAACATCACTTTTGCAATGGCCACAGAGCATTCAGAAAAAAAAACTCCCCTTTGGACTTCGTGCTTGTCTTCGGTTTTTCATTATCCGAAGAGTGCGGCAGACCATCCCCACAGATACGTTTTTATGTGCATCCTAAATTAATTTCCTTACCACACATTATTAGACCTAGAGCTTTGATAACCCGATCAAATCACTGGCTGGAAGTGTAGTGCGGGTTTATGTGCCTGACAGGCCACACATGTCTGTGTCCCTTTGCCACATCATGCCAGTATTCAGTATTTTTTTTTCTACTTTATTTCCTTTCCTTTGTGCTCTGGTTTAACCTCATTTATTTAGGGGAGGGAGGGTTTCAAAGCCTTTTGTACTGATGGGTTGGATTAACCCCTACGGGCCTGGCTCTTGGAAGCACTTAGCCCCCACAGCTCCCTTTGGTGCAGATACTGATTGCAGGAGCACCTCGACTACTTTCGTAGAGATCACAAATGCCATCACTCTGCCTAGAACAGAATCTTTCTCCTCAAGCACTGTTAGGTCTACAGTTGGGAGGCTTTCTGTTTTCTTCTGATGTTTAGAGCAGGCCTTTTCAAAATTGCCTCTTTGAGATTGGTTCCACCACAGCACGAATGTACTAAACGCTAACGAAGTGTACACGTAAAAAGGTAAATTTTATGTTCTGTGTTTTGCGACAATTAAAAATAAAATTGCACCTTTGAGCTAATGCCTCAAAACGTGTTGGATATATTAATAGAAATAGAGATATATTAGATATATAATAGATCTATTAATGAGATACATTAATCCATTGAAGAAGTATTTATCCAGTATACAAACCTAACCTGATATTTCCTGGCCCCCTGTGAAATTTTATGAATTTATGCAAAGTTTTATCTAATTGTATTTGTTCCAGAAATCAGATTTTTTTTGTGGGTTAAGAGGGTTTTTTTGTTTGTTTTTTTAAAAAGATTTTATTTATTTGAGAGGGAGTGAGAGCTAGAGAGAGAGAGAGCACACACGGAAAGAGAGAGAAAAGCAGACTCCCCGCTGAGCAAGGAGCCCGATGGGGAACTCGATCCCAGGACCCTGGGATTATGACCTGAGCTGAAGGCAGATGCTTTCACTGACTAAGCCACCCAGGCATCCCTAAGAGTTTTTTTCTCTTGTCAAAACAAACAAACCAGGGGACCCTGGGTGGCTCAGTCAGTTAGGCTTCTGCCTTCGGCTCAGGTCATGGTCCCGGGGTCCTGGGATCGAGCCCCGCATCGGGCTCCCTGCTCTGCGGGGAGCCTGCTTCTCCCTCTCCAACCCCCGCCCCCCACTTGTGTTCCCTCTCTCGCTGTCTCTCTCTCTCAAATAAATAAATAAAATCTTAAAAAAAATTAATTAAAAAAAAATACATGTCCTTGATACAAAATTCAAACAGTACCCAAAGGTTTGCAGAGAGTGGTTTTCTAGGCCTTCCCACCCAAGCTCCAAAGCTGCCATTCCCTGTGTTCACATGCACGTACATTCAGGAAGATGTGTATCTCTTTAGCTAAATTGGGGGCTTGGGGGGTTTTGGTGTTATGCCTTAACAGTTTGGTTCTCTGAATTCCAGGACAGCTGTGGGAAGAGGCAGAGCCTGGCTGTATCTTGCACTCATGCAAAAGAAACTGGCAGATTACCTGAAAGTGCTCATAGACAATAAACATCTCTTAAGGTATTTTATCTCCTATCTTTGCTGTCTTTTGCTCCTAAAATACTTCGAACATCGTTCTGGAGATGGTTTGGAATTAAAACAAGAGTGTGCGATGTACACAGCTTTAAAGAGTATTTCATTTTTCGAGCACGGGTATCTGAAAGTCATGATGAATGAAGATTCATATTGCTTTTCATTTTGAAAAGTCCTTTCAAAGATAATTCTTCAAAAATACCTAAGATTAAGTAACTGACAACCTACTCGATTAGGCTTCAACAAAATAGTACTTACTAGATTTCTTGATAACAGGAAAAAATGACTTTAAAACTAGATGCAGTGAACAATTTTAAAGTATAAAAACCTGCCTTTTATAAGAGAACATAGCTATATTGCCTATTTTAGGATTCCATATCCATCTTGTAAAAGTTTATATTTCTTAGCATCCGTAATGACTGACTAGCTGTCCCTGAAATTTATGACTGGTTCGTTTTTGATACTTACATTTAAGCAAAAATAATCCTCACAAAAGGAATTTTCTCTAGAACATGGGAATTTATAAGGGAAGAATCTCTCTAGAGTTAATTTGTCTGATTGAGTTAAAAATATCTTTTATAGTATGGCCTGCCACTCAAAATTTTTCATTGTTTTCAAGTCATGGCTTATTATTGAGCATATCTTTATATGATAAATAGGGATTTCAGAATACTTTTTCAAATACTTCACCTATTTTGTGTTTTCAGTACAATCACACTGAGTAACTTTGAGGTGTGAATTTTGTTCTAATGAACTAATTCTTTTTTTAATTGAAATATAGTTGATATATAATGTTACATCAGTTTCAGGCATGCAACAGAGTGATTCCACAAGTCTACACTATTATGTTTTGTTCACAAGTGTAGCTACCATCTGTCACCATACAAAGTGACGACAGTACCATTGACTGTGTTCCCTGTGCTGTACCTTTCATCCCCATGACCTCATGACCTAATTCTTAAGACACTGAGGTCTCACGCACACTCACACATACACACAGTTGGTAAACGAGCACATCATTGGTGACCAGGAGCTGTAGTAGATGGAGCCCCCTGTGAATGGCTGAGGTGACTGGGGGGTGAGGAAGTAAAAGCAGCCAGTGTGGAAGGGGGGGTTTATTCTTGGATGTGGGGGGCTATGGGGTTCTGCTTCCTGTTGGCATGAGTGTAGAAATAGCGCATAGCAGTGCGGAAGAAGGCGCCAGTGGGGACAGGAGGGGCAGACTGATGGTTGGGAACACAGGAGCCAAGAGGAGACGGGAAGGACTGGGGTCCAGGGTCCACAGAGGAGTCAGCCTCAGATTGGAGGCAGGAGGAGCCTGTCCTCAACCACGGGAAGAGAGGAGGTGGCAGCACTTGAAGTGGGGGTGAGAAATGAAAGGCAGAAGGAAACTGGCACCAGGGGCTTTCTGGGCACCTGGGGAAGCAGGCAGCCCGACCCATCCGTTGAGAGGTGAAAGGACAGGGCAGGTCGGGGAGAAGGTGGTGAACATCCCTTCCTGAGCGGCCGGCCACCTGTTGTGTCAATCTCTTCCAGTGAGTTCTATGAGCCCGAAGCATTAATGATGGAGGAAGAAGGGATGGTGATTGTCGGTCTGCTGGTGGGACTCAATGTTCTTGATGCCAATCTCTGCTTAAAAGGAGAAGACTTGGATTCTCAGGTAGGATGGGAATCTTGGGCCCGGGATTTTGCACAGGGCTGTGGACGTGTGCCAGGCCTTCTTATGGGCAAAGGGTAGAGGGTATCTGCTCCAGGGCTGTGCCAGGTGCTATGCTGAGGAAGGGAAGTCCGGGCCAGGGCACGGAGGCACACGGTGGTGGAGGCTGGGCTCAGTTTGCAGGCCATCTGCACCATGCTAACAGCCATGCTTTTGTCCCTGGAGCTTCGAGAAGCCATTGGAGGTTTTTAAGCAGTGTGCTGGCATAATCAGGCCCGGGTTTGAGAAAGATCAATCTCGCAACCATCCAGGTGATGAGTTAGACGCAGCCAAGAGTGGAGACCACAGAAACATGGAGCAGACAAGTCCCAAAGGTTGGGTGGGGACTGGAAGATAAGAGTTGGGAGAGATTGGGAAAGGGAGATGATGCAGGGGGCATGAAATGAAAGCGGGCGGCAAGGAGCAGAGCACCCTGAGGAGCAGGACCACCCTCCTTTCTTCCTGCCCTGGAGCAGGTGACCAGGGCTGAGGCCTAAACTCCTGGTGGTGGGGACGGTAAGTGAGTGAGGGGGAGAGACACCTCCGCACCTCCACCCCCTTCAGGGCACGTGTGGCTGTGGCTGAGCGACTGCCTGGCCTACTTCCCACTGCAAGTTTGGGTACAAAGAATCTAAAGCTTCCCCTAGTCCCTCCGTACCCAAGCCAGCGGTTTTTCTTTTTTCTTTTTTTCTTTTGGTTATAATCTCTCCTCCCTTTTTCCCCCCAATAGTTTTGTTGTTTTTGCATGTTGAAAATGTTTCAAAAAATAAAGAGAAGTATTTTTGAAAAGAACCAAAACCTCACACTGAATCCCATTACTCAGAGAGAGCTAATTAATTTAATGCTACATTTTGATATCTATCCTTTCAACACATGAATAAGGGTGTGTGTGTGTTTTTATATTTTAGAGGTATTTGGACTTTTTTTTTTTTAACCAAAATACGATTATTCCAGGCACACACCATTTTGTAATTTTTTTTTTATTTGACACTATGTCCCACATGGCTCTCAATGTCAGTAGAGATGTGAGCCATTTAAACGGCTGCACAGCAGAAACATTACCTCAGAGAGACTGTGGATTTGGTTCCAGACCGCTGCAATTAAGCAAATAATAGAGCGAGTCATGACTTTCTTTGGTTTCCCGGTGCATGTAAAAGTTATGTTTACACTGTCCTGTAGCCTATCAAGTGTGGGATAGCACCACATCTTTAAAAAAACAATGTGTAAATAAATAATAAAAATAAAAATTAAGCTAAGTAAATTAAAAAGTCAATATAAAGTTTTGTGTTTTTTTAAGATTTTACTTATTTGAGAGAGAGAGCGAGCACGAGCAAGGGTAGAATGTCAGAGGGAGAGGGAGAAGCAGGCCTCCCGCGGAGCAGGGAGCCCGACGCGGGGCTGGATCCCAGGACCCTGGGACCATGACCGGAGCCGAAGGCAGACGCTTAACCGACTGAGCCACCCAGGCGCCCCCATACCTTAATTTTAAAATACTTTCTTGCTCAAAAGTTCTAACCATCATCTGAGCTTTCAGTGAGTCATAATCACTGATCACAGATCATCATAACAAAGGTAGAAATAGGAAAAGTTTGAAATATGTGATTACCAAAATGTGACACAGAGACATGAGGGGAGCAAATGCTGTTGGGAAAACGGTGCTGATAGACTTGTCCAACACGGAGCTGCCACAGACGTTCAACTTGTAAAAATGCAGTATCTGGGAAGTGCAGTAAAGCAAAGGGCAATAAAACGATGTATGCCTGTATTCATTTTATGAGCGTACTATAATTTATTTAACCAGTACCTTACTTAACTAAGGTTGATTCTGTATTACCACAGTACTGTATTACCACATCCTCATATGTCTTCGTACTGTTGTCCATTGACTTCCTTAGAATTAATTTTGGGATTTCTGTGTTAAAGTAAGCATTCTACATTAGTATTACGACATCATGATGTGCATTCTTGATCTTTTTCAATCTCATAGACCAAAACAAGTCCTCAAATTTACATTTTTTTGAAAGCATGTTTAGTGTATTTTTTTTTTAAGATTTATCTTAGAGCATGCACCACCAAAGGAGAGGGAGAGAATCTCAAGTAGGTTCCCCGCTGAGCGCGGAGCCCCAGGCAGGACTTGATCTCACAACCTTGAGATCGTGACTTGAGCCAAAATCAAGAATCAGTCGAAGGGTGCCTGAGTGGCTCAGTCGGTTAAGCGTCTCCATTCGATCATGATCTTAGGGTCCTGGGATCGAGCCCTGAGTTGGGCTCTCCGCTCAGTGGGGAGTCTGCTTCTCCTTCTCTCTCTGCCCCTCCCCCTGTTCATACGAGTGTGCTCTCTCAAATAAATAAATAAAATCTTCTTAAAAAAATGTAATTAGGGATGCCTGGGTGGCTCAGTCCGTTGGGCAACTGCCTTCGGCTCAGGTCATGATCCCAGAGTCCTGGGATCAAGCCCCACATCAGGCTCCCTGCTCAGCGGGAAGCCTGCTTCTCCCTCTCCCACTCCCCCTGCTTGTGTTCCCTCTGTCGCTGTCTCTCTCTCTCTCTGACAAATAAATAAAATCTTTAAAAAAAAATTTTTTTAGGGCGCCTGGGTGGCTCAGATCATTAAGCGTCTGCCTTCGGCTCAGGTCAGGATCCCAGGGTCCTGGGACCAAGTTCTGTGTCGGGCTCCCTGCTCAGCAGGAAGTGTGCTTCTCCCTCTCCATCTGCCGCTCCCCCTGCTCATGCTTTCTCTCTCTCTGTATCTCTCTGTCTCAAATAAATAAATAAAAATCTTTAAATAAGTAAATAAATAAATATTTAATTTAAAAAAAAAGTCAGTCACTTAACTGAGCCACCCAGGCACCCCTATTTATTTTTTAAAGTAGGCTCCATGCCCAGTGTGGGGCTTGAACTCACAACCCTGAGATCAAGAGTCACATGCTCTATGATCTGAGCCAACCAGGCGCCCCAGCAGTCACACTTAATGGACTTTTTCTTTATACCATCTAAGGTATTAGGCTTAGAAAGTCCTTTCCCATCTAAAAATTAACCTGATTTTTTAAGTCAACTGTATTTTTTACATTTAAATAATGCCTGTCATTTCTTTTGACATAGTGTGAAATGGGAGTCTAGGTTTCATTTACAAACAGTAAACCAGATTTCTCAATATCATGTATCAAGTACATTTTTCTACTAATTTGAAATTTCACCTTTATTTCACACCTTTATGTGTGAAATATCCATAGTCCAATGAGGTTTATTTCTGGACTCAGAAGCCTAGTCTCTGAATCTCTTTATCCTATGTCAGTAACAGTCTTTTTTTTTTTTTTTTTTTAAGATTTTATTTATTAGAGTGAGCACAAGTGGGGGGTGGAGGGGCAGAGGGAGAGGGAGAGGGCTCCCTGCTCCGGCCCGACGCGGGGCTGGATCCCAGGACCCTGAGATCATGACCTGAGCCGAAGGCAGAGCTTGACTGAGCCACCTAGGCGTCCCTGTACTGTTATTTATCGTTATTACCATTATTTAAGAGACAGTCTGAGGGAACCTTTGAAGAGTCCTCTGAAATGACAGTAGTCGGCTGTTTCATTCATTTTTAGTTTTAAATAGAATTTCTGTATGTGTGTCTGTGCTCACGGTAGAATTTTTTTTTTTAGAGATTATTTTTTTGAGAGAGAGAATGAGAGAGAGAGAGAGAGCACATGGCGGGGGGAGTCAGAGGGAGAAGCAGGCTCCCCACTGAGCAGGGAGCCCGATGTGGGACTCGATCCCGGGACTCCAGAATCATGACCTGAGCCGAAGGCAGTCGCTTAACCAACTGAGCCACCCAGGCGCCCGAATTTTTTTTTTTTTAATTCTAGTATTCATATAGCATCATATGAGTTGCAGGTGTACAGTATAGTGATTCCAGGCTTCTGTACATTTCCCTGGTCTGTTCTTCAGCTCAGTGCCTCTCATATGCCACCATGATGCATGAATGCTTGCTGCTGATGTCTCAGGGGTCTTCTTCCTCATGTTTAGAAAGTACTATTCCAGTCTAATTTATTTTACGTTTTTATTAAAAATGAGCGTGCAAGGCCATCACATACCCTTTTTTGGCATCTTTTGAAATGTCATATCTTTTAACCCATAAATTTAAGTGAATTCATTCAGAGGTTTCCTGTTGTGATATTACCCCTGCATTCCTAAAATAAACCCAAAGTGGCCATCATGTGTTATTCTTCTAGCGTGCGCCTAGATTTAATAGGTCTTTGTCCCTTTGTGGTGTCAGAATTGTGTTAATCTCATAAAATAAGGTGGATGTTTTTTTCTTGTTTTCCGGAACTGTTTATAAGAGCAGGAATTATTTTTCTATCTGAAGGTTTCTTCCTGGTATGATCTCTTCAGCTTTATGCTTTTTTTTTTTTTGGTCCTAGTTCTTTGACCACTTTAATTTTTTACTTAGCTTTTGGTCGGTTTTTTGGTTTCCTGTGTCTGGGACGATTTTTTAGTCATTTGTATTTTTCCAGAAGTCATTTATTTCATTCAGATCTATTAGTTACATGAGAGTGTTCCCTCACAGCTTCTTAAAATCTCACTTTTCTCATTTGCATACTGTGCACTTGCTACTAAATACTGATCATACTGGATAGAATTTGTCTACTGTGTTGAATTTGAAGAACTAGTTCTTACTTTTACGGACCAGTTCTGCCTTGGGAGAAGGGCTTTATTTGCTTCCTGATCCATTAATATCTACTTTGAGTGCTAACACTCCTTCTTTCTTTCTTTTTTTTTTTTTGAAAGATTTTATTTGACAGAGCATGAGTGGGAGGGAGGAGCAAGGAGAGAGCGAGAAGCAGGCTCCCTGCGGAGCAGGGAGCC